GTATTGTCAAACTTTCATTCCAATTATTTGTGACTTCTCCGGTGAAGACATTTGTTGAAAAAATTTTTCAATTCTCCGAGAATAATTTTACTCCCCTCCTTCAACATTTCTGCAAGTATTATGTCTGGGCCCAGAGCCTTATTGTTCTTTAGCTGTGCTATAGCTTATTTCATTTCGAAGGATTCTATATTAGGGAGTATTTCTGAGTTGGCATTCGTTATCTTTCCCTTAAGATCTTCCTTCGCAGTATTATCTGGGTTCTTGTTTAAGGAATATAAATCACGGTAAAATTTTCGAGTAACTTCTAAGATTTCGTTCTTTTCTCTTATCTTCCTTTACTTCGTTCTTTATTTCTTTATTCAATTCTTTGAAACCATCGGTGCCTCGCTTTCCTTCGCTTAGTAATGTGCGTCTCTTTTCCATCAACCGTTTTATACCATCACTTATTATGTCGTCTTTATTTTTCGTTTTCTATGCAACACTCAGTCCTGCTTTCAAGAGCTTAAATCCAGCGAATAGAAATTCTCAAAAATAATTTTTATCGGTTCTTGATATGTCGCTAATAACTATAATTAACAATACAATTAACATTATAATTTTTAAGACAAAACAATTATTTTTGCCTTAGGTTCAAGACCTATTTAGCCAACAATTGGTTGAATACGTTAAAAAACAATCTTCCACACTTCCTTTAAATTCATGACAATTTCCTAACCGTTCGTTCATTCACTTTTAAAGGTAAATGACATAAAAGGAAAGACAATGGGAAATACAACAACAAATTTCGGATTCACACTACACTGAAAAAGGCAGTTTAGATTTTCTGTTTGGTACGTTTCAAAAATTCCCATAAAATCGATCTTTTTATTATTAGCCCGGTTTTTTTTATAGCGTTCTCCGCCTTCCGTTTCCCAGTTTCCAGCTGCGTCGGTCATTCCATTCGCCAGGGTGAAGGTTTCTTTCCGACATTGCCTTCTGAATGCCGCCCAGCCAGGATTGTTTTGGCCTTCCTGTCCTCCTTCTTTCCCTTGGCGTCCATTTTAAAATTTGGTTTGGCAGCCTGTCATCGTTCATTCTTTTCACATGACCATGCCAGATCAGTAGTCTCCTTTGAAGTTCGTCAATGATGGTTGACTTGACTCCCATTATATTTCTGATATGGTCATTTTGTATTCTATCAAGCCTTGATTTTCTAGCTGATCTTCACCAGAAGTCCATTTCCAATGCAAGTAGGCGTCGCTCAAGGGATTTAGTAAGTTGCCATGTTTCGCATCCATAGAGCACTATACTTTTAAAGATGGAGTTAAAGAGGAGATGCTTTCTTTGATTTGATAGTTCTTTTGATAGCATCGGTTTAGGCATCCTATCACCCTTTTTCCTTTCACGATTCTTTGCTCTATCTCTTTTTCGGTGCGCCCACTCTTGTTGATTGTTGTTCCCAAATATATTGTTATGCTATTTAAATTGTATTCTATTGCTTATTTAGAAAAGATCTTGTCTATATTTATTAAAAGATCTAATCTCCAATTAATCACAATAAATCAGCATTAATTAATTACAATCTCAGGCTATTTAACTTGTACTATTTACCTTTGATCGTGGATTCAAAATATTTTCCAATTGGCTTCCTAATTGGGATAGGTAATATGACCTGAATAAAATACACAGAATTTCAACTGAACTATATGTGAGATGTCCTTTATTTTAATGAAATTTTATATAACAATCAATCCTGTAATATTTGCAATATAATACTTGAAATATATGAGAAGTTGTTTTCTATCATGGACCCAAATGTTATTTTACATTGATTTTTAATATGTGTTATAACTAAGCTCTCTTTATAATTTTTTTCTTTAAATGATCGCAAAATTAACTGTCTCTATTCTTTATTCAATTTATTTAATTAATAAAAGAAAACCACACTCCTGCTCTAATGAAAATTGACTGACCTTTCGTTCTCTGCCGTTGTAATTCTATGGCCACGCCATAAAAAAAAAACCTTTCTCTGCTTCTGCTCCTATTGTGGTCCAGATGACGTACACCTTTCTCCTATCTGTCCTTGTATCTGCAACCCAACAACTCGTGTAATTCTATGTAGCCTCCTTTTGAGCCAATCTCCGCTCCTGTTTATAACTTCAAATGTTTCCGGCTTCGTCTGATATTAATATTCTTATACCCTTTGGTTTTTCTATCTCTCTGTACCCCGTTCCTCACACTGATTAGCTTTTACACAGCAAATAAACACACCCGGTAAATTACGTCTTCGGGACTTCAAACAAACACAAACCACAAAGCTCCTTCCTTCTTGGGCGACGGAAACTGACTAACCAACTTTTTTCCTCTCTCCTATCTCATAGCCAAAACCACTACCTCCATTGCATTCAAAAATTGACCAATAAAAATCATCCACCTCTGTGACGTATATCGTTACCAACCAACTCTCTTTATAAAACGTCATTCGGGTAATTCCAGAAAACAACATTCTTTAATTATTCTAACTAAATCTATCTGCTTTACAAATATTTCTTACTAATAGCTACAAACGATACCTGTTTCTCAATTCAATGTCTTTTGTTAATAAACTTTTACCGATATAATCTTTCGGGGAGAAAAACCACCGCAAATCCCGGTCTATTGTTTAAACACTGTCTATATACATTTTTATTCTGGGTAAATCCATTCCACAATAACCGACTTATTTAAATTTCTTATCGATAATATTTGAAAGTCTTGTCTCTGAGGCCTAATGAACAATTCTTCGAACAACTTAAAATACATATTTTGTCTTATACAGGAAGTTTGAAAATTTATATGCCCGTGTCTTTATGAAATATCAATAATTTTAATTTTTATTTAAGTAATAAAATTTGTATATCGGTTTTTTATTGCTTATGGACATTCAAAAGTACAACAATATATATTCCTCACAGTTCTTGATTGTTTCATGTTCGTTGACCATTAGATCTTCTACTTCATTCCCTATGCATAAGTATTGCGTTTTTTTTCTACATACAGAGAGGCCCCATTCTTCATATGTTTTAAACAACCGTCTCGTCATGAATTCTAAATCATCCTTGTCTGCTGCCACTACTACTTGGTCGTCCGCAAAATGTAGAGTGTATAATGTTATATCGTCGTCAAGTTGGATCCCCATTCCTGAACAGGATCTTCTCCAGTGTTTTAGTGCTTCATTTGAATGAATGAATGCTTCAAATGAAGCACTAAAATCGATCTAATAGTTGAATTTCGACTACCTAAATAGAGAATAGTTGCAAAACTTAAATGGAGCTTCGCGGGCCACACTGCTAGACAGAACGACCAACGTTGGAATACTATAATATAACATCTTACGAAAGTAAACGACCAAGAGGAAGACCACAGATGAGATGGGTTGATGCCATTAGTAGAATAGCCGGAACAAATTGGAAATATGTTGCTCAGGATAGAGACCGATGGAAGGAGTTGGGAGAGGCCTATGTCCAAACATGGACGACAGAAGGCTAAGAAGAAGAAGAAGAAAAATAGAGAATAGAAGCAACGTTCTGTGGCAGTAAGATTTTTTGTTGGGAGATGGCTTGAAATAAAAATGTTATGGCTTCTTGATTATACCGACATTGAAACATCCAGTGGTTAAGATCGTCATAACTGCCATTACATTCACATATATCAATTTCGAAAAGTTTTATTTTATATAGGTAAACGTTTACTGTGGCATGTCAAAAAGAGCATCTAACGTACATAGCATAGATTTTCCGAGAGATGGGGTTTCTGTCATTTGGGGAGTAGATGGAAAAGTTGTAATGAGTAGCTCTTTCGGGACGACAGACTCAGTAAAACACAGGTTGAAATAAAAATATATCTATTAATTTAGTGTATGTAAAATAAAATAAAAATAAAATAAATTCTCCGGCGTATAAAATAAAAATAAAACGAATTCTACTTCCCCATCCAGATCCCGCGATGAAGGAATTCCTCGGCGAACGTCTATAAAAGAAAGAAAGAGAATAACAACAAATAAAATATGTGGATTCGATTGCACGCAGACTTATACTCGCTTCCGCTTCAATACAGCGGAAGCTCCAATCACACTCGCAAACAAAAATATTCGGCTGTGCAGGCCCACGGCAAGGTTCAGTACATAATGCCGATGAGTTTCGCTTAGTTAAGGACAGAATATGATCCTCAATGCGGAAATATCTCCGTCCGGGTTGTCTCGCAGGTTCAATACACTTGCGAGTCGGGGAGCCTAGAGCGCTAGCTGCAAGACTGACTAATTGCAAGCAAGCAATTTAATTGAACCCAGCCTATGAGAAATGTTCACCTCTAAGTATTACGATCGGGTGTAACAATTCATTGGAACAAGGTGTGTTAACTCGAGTATAAACAGGAGTCACCCCACCGTGCTCCAATGCTCTAGACCATCCCTTTCCCCCCTATAGCACTCTGATGCGCTATAGAGGCACAACAATCAGCCAAATTCTCTTCATGTGGAGGTCCTGGATAATGGAACCCCAACATGGTTTCCTAACCGAATGCAAAAACTCAGGACAGCGCATCTCCGCTATATTCCTGTTATCTTAATGTGGCTTATCCGCGATACTGACAAATTCCGCTACTCCTACTCATCCCACTCATTTCGCTATATTTTACAATTATTTACAATTTACAATTTTTTTAAAAGAAAATTTTATTAATTGTTTAAGTGAGTAAAACAATATTATGCAGTTTCAAATATAAAATATTCTTCTTAAATTGTTTAATATTGCACCGTCACTACAGAACTGTTTTAAATATCTACGCTATAAAATATTTTGTGGAGCTATTCGCTACCGCGTTTGAAACAGCTGTATTTTTAAGTTCTTTTCTCCATTTTATATAGATTCAGTATTTTAAAACATAGTGCTTATTAATTACATTTGTGTTCATCAAATTCAATATTTCCTTTTTTTTTCGTTCAATAAAAGATAAAATTCTATTATATCCTTTTATTTTGATAGGTATTTGCCCTTGAAAATCAACGGAACACAATTCCCGATTCCAGACGTTCCCGAACTAAAAGGAAGAAGAATTTCTAGTGTGGTTGTACTGGCTCCAGTAAACTTCGATTTTTCCGCTGAAAGGAAAACAAGGGAAACTACGGGAAACTTATCGTCTGATATGGATTTGATTGAAGGAACCGCACTCAAAGAATTATTAGTGAATCCTTCTTTGGATAATTTTAGAAAGTTTTTGGATAACGAGAATAAGACTACTAGTGCCAAGCAAGCGGTTATTTTGTTGATTGCAGAGTAAGTATTTTATTGTAGAGAACACTTTTGATTTAAAATAAAATAACAAAGGTTTATTGACGTTATATTACATGAAGTTTAAATATGGCATTAAAAATCATTTCTTGTTTTGACATAGCTTTAGTGAAAATTTTAAAAATTCCTCTGGACTAATTTTTGAGTTGGCTTTTCCTTCCGTTTTAGAAAATATGGAATGTGTATTATAGGCAACAATATGCAATAAAACTACATCTTCTTTTTCTTCTTTTGGTACCTATTCGTTTCGAATATTGGCGGTCATTCTGGCTATAATTATATTATTAACTAATGCCTTAAATAGATTAGTTGTTGTTGTGGAGAATAATTTCCTCAGGTTTTTAACCAGTCTAACTACGGTCCAGCCACCGTATTTCGCTTGTGTTCGTTATTGCTATTTTCATGCGTTTCATGCCATTTCTTTGATTACGCATTGGATTTTTCCTGATGGAGTCATAGTCTTAACGTTATAGCACTAGAAGAAAAGTTCATGACTCCAAATGTTCTCCAAAAGTTCATGAAAGTATCTCCAAATTACTTGTGCTTATAAATCAATTGAGAAACACAATTTCATATACTTTATTCCTAGAATATTTAACTATTTAAGAGATCTATAAAATCTACATGAGAAAAATCAACTCATTCAACATGATAAAATCCATTTTTATATACCACCTTAAGAACACTGGATCACAAATTTTGGATGCGATCTTCTTTAAATAAATTCATCATACAACTAATAGTATACTATATACTTTGTATTAATATTTTATATTATCAACCTGATGATACTGAATGTAATCCTTAAGCACAAACTCTGGTTCATCTGGGAATATCTTTTTTGTTTATTTGCCAACAACTATTTGTTTGTACAAACTATTTAACTGAGAACGAATTTGCAATTTTATTATATTGAGCTATTATATATTGTAACATTGTTTTATATTGTATAATGGGAAGTAAATAAACAATATTATTATTATATATTGATATTTCAGGTATATATCATAAAAATATCCTTATAATTTACTAGCTGATCAGCATTTTTGACTCTTTAGTTTGATATCACATACTAAGAAATACATTATAACTAAAAATATAAGATGCTTTTAATACAATTTTTAACTTTTAATAATTATTGTGCTACTAGCTTGTAGTTAATCTTAATAACTGTACCGATTACCTTAAATATCCCTGTACACTTAAATGTGATTGTGGCCAATCCAGAGTTTAATTCACCTTGTTAGGTTAGTGGGCTAATCGATCGATTTATCAGTAGAAACTGCGAACCATCTGCTAAAATTACTTTATCCGTGAATCGAACCTACAAATCATATTTTCTATCGAGATTTATTCTGCCAGAATGACTTTAAAAAGAATGTAACTTATCTATGACGAATATCGTATTGTTGTTCAAAATTGTTGTTGTTAAGCACATTTTTAGTGCAATTTGATGAGTTCTTTCGTTTTCACAATAGCGTGGCAAATTTCTTGAGAAGTATAAAATGCAGATAAGCTATTAATAAGGCAGCCTCACTTTCTACGTTTTAATGGTTTCAGTTTCTTTAAACGAGCAAAGTTAAGGTAAAATGCGTTTGTCTCCCATGGTCTTAATTATTATAATATTTTAGTTTTAATAATTGTTCTCAATTGTGTAGAAGCAAAAAATTCATAATAAATCAGCTCAGAAATATGAATATTGTATTATTTAACACTAATATTCTTTGTATGAAAGTTACAAATTAATATTATATAACTGAATTTTGATGTCTGAACATTTCTCTTCAATTTCTTTTTTCTTGTTTTCTCCTGTAACTTTAAAACTTATTGAAGTATCTACAAAAATATTTTTAGTACCAGAAATATATATTAACGACTTTTTTCTTATTTTTCTTTTTTAGGACCATATCCTGTGTTTATTGGGTTATGTTTCATAAATTTTGTAAGGTTACGTTAGGTTATGTTTCATATAAAATTAATTAATTAATTAATTTTAATAATTGTTCTCAATTGTGTAGAAGCAAAAAATTCATAATAAATCAGCTCAGAAATATGAATATTGTATTATTTAACACTAATATTCTTTGTATGAAAGTTACAAATTAATATTATATAACTGAATTTTGATGTCTGAACATTTCTCTTCAATTTCTTTTTTCTTGTTTTCTCCTGTAACTTTAAAACTTATTGAAGTATCTACAAAAATTTTTTTAGTACCAGAAATATATATTAACGACTTTTTTCTTATTTTTCTTTTTTTAGGACCATATCCTGTGTTTATTGGGTTATGTTTCATAAATTTTGTAAGGTTACGTTAGGTTATGTTTCATATAAAATTAATTAATTAATTAATTTTAATAATTGTTCTCAATTGTGTAGAAGCAAAAAATTCATAATAAATCAGCTCAGAAATATGAATATTGTATTATTTAACACTAATATTCTTTGTATGAAAGTTACAAATTAATATTATATAACTGAATTTTGATGTCTGAACATTTCTCTTCAATTTCTGTTTTCTTGTTTTCTCCTGTAACTTTAAAACTTATTGAAGTATCTACAAAAATTTTTTTAGTACCAGAAATACCTATATATTAACGACTTTTTTCTTATTTTTCTTTTTTAGGACCATATCCTGTGTTTATTGGGTTATGTTTCATAAATTTTGTAAGGTTAGGTTAGGTTATGTTTCATATAAAATATGTTAAAAACCCAGTTAATCTAAAAACCTAATTGTGGTAATAAATGAGTTGGAAATATGTGATGTGCCTTTTAGGCTTGATTCGTAAATAACGTTATATTTAAATACATTTTAATTCAGTATATTATATTAACTTGGTGGATATTCAGGAGTAGTAAACGGACATATTTATAAACAATAACAGAGCTATCGGCCAGTGTGAATCACAACGAACTCAAAAATGCAATGATAATCACAAGGCGTGCTTTAACAATGTCAGTATTTCATTCAAGTTCAACTCAAGTTCTTTATATTTGAGTATGGATTATTCTTCTTCTTCTTATTGATGTGCCTATTCGTTACGAATGTTAGCAACCATCATAGCAATCTTTATCTTATCTTCAGCAGCGTGAAAAAGCTGCACAGTTGTTGTATTGAACCAGATTCTAAGATTCTTTAACCAAGATATTCTACTCCTTTCTGGAACTAGTTTTCCAAAGATTTTTCCTTGCAGGATGGCTTGAAGGAGAGCATATCTGGATTCATTTCGCATCGTATGTCCGAAGAATTGTAACTGTCGAGATTTGATGGTAGTCAGTTTTCCATTCAAGTTCAACTCAAGTTCTTTATATTTGAGTATTGGTTATCCTTCTTCTTCTTCTTGATGTGCCTATTCGTTACGAATGTTAGCGATTATCATAGCAATCTTTGTCTTATCTGCAGCAGCACGGAAAAGCTGCACAGTTGCTGTATTGAACCAGATTCTGAGGTTCTTTAACTAAGATGTTCTCTTAAGGAGACAAAATACAGCCTTGCCTCTCTCCACGCATAATTTTCACGTAATCAGTATGTTCACCTTCAACTCTGAGATTTTCTGTCTGATTCCAGTAAAGATTTCTAATTATTGTCAGATATTGGTTGCTAATTCCTGCTTCTTTTAGAATTTTGATCATCTTGGCGTGCTGTACTCGATCAAACGCTTTCTCGTAATCAATCTGCATTTCTGCTTGTAGAGAGACTTAGAGAGAGCTTGCTTAAGACTTGTACTGAGAACAAAACCTCTCTAGTACCAACAGTATTTGTAAACCCAAACTGGTTTCTTCTAATATACAGACAACTTTTTGTAAGCAGCAATAAGAACAAACAATAGAAACACTATAAATTTTATAGGTTATGGTAAACGTAAATGTTCAAAATGACAACTGAAAATTTAGTGTAGAAACAATCTTAGTCCGAGACTAAGGTGGTTTCAGAAATACATGAATATTTTAAATCGATACAAAATCAACTATGCTTACGGTACTTAAGTGTATTCTGCATTAAATTGTGTGTAACCCACAGAAATATAATAATATATTATATTTACAGTATAATATACAGTTTCTAAAATAAGCGATTTAATTATATTTTATTGTAGGATTTTTAGTTAATATGTACTTAAGGGTGGTTTAACTCAGTACATAAGCTTACCCTAGATAGCCATATGCCGAAATTCCACAACTTTTTGTCTTTAAATTCTTTCTAAATTTCGTGAATATGTTGTTTTTTCTTGTGTTTTCTTTTTCACGTTCTAGAACCTAATTATGAATCGATGATTCTGCAATATTCAGGATGTTAAGAAACATTTTTCTACATACTTTTTTTTCATTTTTCATATTTTTCTAGATGTTAGATTTCTATTTTATAGTATAGACAATTCAACATATTGTTACGAATTAGAAGAACGACTTTGCCCCTTGAGGCGAACCACCGTTAAAAGAGTATTGGATTGGATGCATCGAAGTGAAAGACCTTCTTGGCAACACATTAGTGCATGTAGTCCCGAAGTCAAGTGTTACTGGAGCCAATGGAATTCCCTAGTGCTGATGATCTTCTGTATAGAACCTTTAAGAACGATGATGGTACAGAAACTAAGCTTCAGTTGATTGAATCTAAAAGTAAAGTGTCAGAAGTATTGCGTCAGTTGCATGACAGTGCATCAGGTGGACACCTTGGTATTACGAAGACTCTGCAAAAGGTTCGAGAACGGTTCTATAGGGTGAACTATAAAGGTGATGTAAGAAGATGGTGCCGGAAATGTGAACTGTGTGCAACTAGTAATTGTCCAGTTGGTAAAAAGAGAGCACCCATGAAACAGTACAATGTTGGTAGTCCTATGGAAAGAGTAGCAGTCGACATTGCAAGTCCATTTCCGGAGACAAATGATAAAATAAATATATCCTGGTAGCCATGGATTTTATTTTATGAAATAGACTGAGGCCCATGCGAAACCAAATCAAGAAGCTGCTACCGTTGCCGAGGTACTGGTTAAAGAATTCTTTAGCCGATTTGATGTTCCCTTGGAGATCAACTCCGACCAAGGGCGAAACTTTGAGTCAAACCTTTTCCAAAACGTTTGTAAATTGATTGGTGTCAATAAGAGCAGAATGACACCCCTGCATCCTCAATCAGATGGAATGGTCGACAGAATGAACCGAACGATGGGTAAACACCTGTCCAAAGTTGTATCAAAAGATAAAAGAGATTGGGACCAGCACATTCATTTATTCATTTAATCTCATCCGTATTTTTTAAGAAGTTCGGTCGTTTGGACGAGTTAAAAAACCAGCCGCCTAAAGTTGGAAGAGTACTGAGATTAGAAGATGGTTCTCGATCTTTGCTGTATATGGTGACCATGAAGTCGTATGCTATGAAGGATAGAAGCTATGAGGATATATGGCGTGTTCTAACTAATTTAAAGAAAATTGTGTGCAATTACGACATCAAGAATTTGGCCTTACCCAAGATAGACCATGCACTCGATAATCTGGATTGGAAGATTGTCAGAAGCATACTTGAAGTGATCTTCCGAGAAACCGGCGTAAGAATTACTGTGTGTTGCACTAATCCGAAGAGATCGTGTTCTTCAAAGACAGTAGACTGATATTTCTTTTTGATGGGTTCATGCAGGCTGGAGAGTCCTATAGATTCCGCCATCCTGGGCCTACATATAGAGTTGCTGATCGGGACGCTTAGATCTAAGAGGGAAGCAGTGTTACAAACATGCATTCAGGTGGCCCGTGTAACGGTTGCATCTCTAAAGCGACTAGAAGTTTCCAGCGATATCGAGTGCAAGAGAGAACAACCTGTCATGCAGGCGAATTAGAGGTGGGCTACTTTAGAACGTTCTCGAATATAGTAAGTTTGGTATATATATATATATATATATATATATATATATATATATATATATATATATATGTAACAATGTTATAAGTTGAGTTTAGTTGATAAGAGAGTACCGAACTGTAAACTTATAAATAAATATATTTATATAAATTCGAACCGCTTATTTTATTTAATCTCGCTACAATATATTTAAATATATAAAAGTTCCATTTGCCTGGTGTATTTATATATTGACCTATAGGGTACACTACACCTTCGATACAATAATATTTTACTTTTTGTAATATGTTCTACAAAAGTTTGTAGATAGTTTTGATTTGCATTATTTTTGTTCTGCTCCTTCTTTTGAGATTTTTAAAACTTATAAAAGAACTAAATATTTTAATAAACATTACTTTTAGCTCCCCATCCAGGGATAAACAGCAAGAGATATTCATGTACGATGTAGCTACTCAAACAGTCAGCAAACTGAGTGGAGAATTGTCATCAGCTTTTGTAGAAGCGGCAGAAGCTAATTCCAATGAAAGTGGGGAGACGGCAGAAGCTTCCAATGCAGTAGAAAAAAGATTGCCTTATTCCGACAATGCCGACAGAAGACAATCATTCGATGAAAGAGATTTAGAAAATGCTGGAAGTGAAGTGTCAGAATCTAAGGTAAATTAAAATTATTTTACGTAGGAATTGGTATTAAATGGTAAAAATTATTTTATGTAAAATGGCTATATAAAGCTTCGACGTAGATATTGATCTTGAAGTATGTTGTTCAAAGGAAGTATTTAATTATGACCTTATTTTATTTGAACTAAAAATAATTACCTGAAAAATATTGTTTCCTTTTAAATAAAATATTTACAGTAATTTTTACAAAAAATTACTGCAAGCCACTTATTATCTGTAGCAGTCTATAGCAGTCGCAATATTTACATCTGAAGCCCTTGTGTGCAAATGATCTTAAAGTAACTCAAAACCTAGATCTCGTAAAAAATGTTCGTCTTACGATGGTCTTCTCTACAGTATTATTTGCATAATAAACATCTTACCTGTTGATTCCAGCAATATTCAGACAAGCATAAAAACCGACCATTGGTCACCTTCTTGCAATGCATAGTTAAACCAGAAGCACAACTTTCTTTTTCCTTATACAATAAGAAGCAAGGGTACAATATTTTCTAAAAAAAAAAATACTTGACCTTTCAGGGCGATTTCCTTCTAAAATAAAGGAGGCAATTGTCTTTTATTTTTACGTGATGTTCCTACAACGGTTAGTTGTAGGAACAATCTCAAGCAAGTTAATTTAATTCTGCAGCGATAATACTAATACTAATTTTGGTGGTAAAATCCGAGGTGGACAAAAAAATGTTTACTACAAACTAAAATCACAGGTGAATCCAAATTTGATGGAAATCGGTTGTGCGGCTCACATTATTCACAACACTTTACAATGTGGCTGCAATATGTTACCATTTGACGTGAAATTAATAATGGTGAAAATTTATTCACATTTTTATCGTTTCACTGTTCATTGTTGCCAACAAAATAAATATACCAAAACATTAACTTTAGATATTTCACCTGCAAATTTCAGTCCAGCATTAAATATATTAAAATATAAATATTAAGGTTATACATTAACATGGAGATCCAACATCAGTTGATTTTCTAATTTTTCCTTTTTTGAGAATGATTTCCGGATTAGAAGTCGAAACGTCAAAAACTAACAAAAATTTGATTATTATAACCAATTATGGCTTAATCCCATCAAAAATATCATTGTCAACATCAAAATGTTAAATAATCAAGAAAATGATGGCATAACAATCCTTGTTTAAAAAAATAAGAAATGGCCCGATTTTCACTGAAGAGTCCTGGATTTCAGGAATTTTTTTAGCCTTGTCCCGAATTCGATTGAATTGGAGTTGGTCACACTAAGTATACAACATCTTGGCATCGCTTAAAGCAAAATATTTAATGCCATATTTGTTTGTCTTGCTGAGTATATATTGTAAAAAAGAACATCGCCTCTTAAAGGCTTGTCATTTTTCGTCCATAGTTACGAATTCGGACAGGCTATTTAAATATTTTTTTCTGGGATTTTTTAATTAAAAATTCGTTTTTCTGGATTAAAAATCCCAGAAAAACGAAACTGAAACAAACAACACTTAATTTAATGGAAGAAAGAAAAAGAACATCGAAAGAACTACCAGAGTATAAAGCTATCAACAATAAAATTAAAAAGAGCATAAGGTCAGACTTGCGAGCTTATAAAACAAAACAAATATTGCAAACCATCGAAAACAATAGAAACATAAGAGTATTGAAATGAAATTTAACTAAAGGAAAATCAAAGATAACTAAAATCAAAAATCAACAAGGGAATACGGTGACCGAAAAAACTCAAATAATCAAGGAAATACAAACGTTCTATAAGAATCTTTATACATCTACTATACAGAACCCCGAAACAGACCACAGAACAATTCTAAACGTCGGCTCGGAAACCCTCCCTAAAATAACCTCTTCGGAAATTAGACATGCCTTACAGCAAATAAAAAACAAAAAAGCTCCTGGCGAGGATCGTATAACGTCTGAAATGTTAAAAATGGGCGGCAACATCGTTGTAGAAGTTGTGGAAGTCTTACTGAATAAGTGTCTAACAGCAAAAAGAATACCCAGCCTATGGGAAAACGCCGAAATAATACTTTTACACAAGAAAGGAGACACTACTAATATTGAAAACTACAGACCTATAAGTTTGTTTTCACACTTATACAAATTGTTAACAAGAATAATAACCAACCGCATAACACAAAAACTTGATTTATATCAACCGGTTGAACAGGCGGGATTTAGAAAGGGGTTTGGTACTAATGATCACTTACAAACCATCAGAACACTAGTAGAAAAAACCACAGAATATAATGGACCTTTAGATATGGCATTTATCGACTTTCACAAGGCTTTCGATAGTATTGAGACTTGGTCCTTTTTGTCAGCCCTGAAGGATGCTCGAATAGACTCACGGTACACTACACTCATTAAAAACATTTATGAACAGGCCACATTCTACATCAAAATCAATGAAGACGAAAAAAACGAAAAAAATGCGCCTTGATAAAGGTATTAGACAAGGTGATACTATTTCACCAAAGCTTTTTACCTTAGCATTGGAAAATGTATTCAAACAGCTTGAACGTTTGAGTCATTTGAGGTTTGCGGATGACATAGTATTATTTAGTACAGATATCAAGGAACTGGAGCAAATGTTGAAGGAATTAAACCAGCAGTCAAATAAAATAGGTCTCAAAATGAACCTTCAGAAAACAAAAATAATGAGTAATTTACAAACTAATCTTGTTATTGACAACGTCAGTCTTGAAAATGTAGACCACTATATATATATCTTGGACATACCATTAAAATCGGCAAAGAAAATCAAATAGCCGAAATAAAAAGACGCATACAACTGTCTTGGGGAGCTTTCGGCAAATTAAGCTTTATTTTGAAGAATAATGATATACCAATGTGTCTAAAACGTAGAGTTTATGACAAATGTATCTTGCCTGTAATTACATATGGACTGGAGACCATGGCCTTCACAAAGAAAACCTTAGAGCAGCTCAGTACAACCCAAAGAGCAATGGAGAGGGCCATGCTAGGGATTAGTTTAAGAGACAGGATTCGAAATAACGTCATTCGTGAAGGAACAAAAATTACTGATGTCTCAGAACGTATTGCAAGGCTCAAGTGGCAATGGGTCGGACACGTTGCCCGAGATAATCCCGAAAAATGGACACAAAGATTAACAAACTGGAGACCAAGAGAGAACAGGCGAGGAGTAGGCAGACTGCAGAAGAGGTGGACAGACGATATCAAACAAGTCGCGGGCAAGCAGTGGATGAGAATTGCCAAAAGTAGAAATCGATGAAAGCAAATGGGAGAGGCCTATGTCCAGCAGTGGACGAACACAGGCTGAAGAAGAAAGAAAGAAGAAAGATTTAAATATAGGTTTGCCATTGTCAACAAACGAAACAAACTGTCGAATTGCTACTAGTTTATCTACCTTTTTCTCTGCTCATTCTTCTTGTTTACAGTCTTCTTTTTTATTTAAAGACACAATATCACGTTACCTATATTTATACTGACCTTTACAATTTTATGTTCTACCGTTATAAAGCCTGCATTGTCTAAGTAAGTCTTCTACAAATATATAATTACTTGTTTTAGGTGCCAATAATTGATCCTCTACAAGAAGAGGACATGGAAACGCAAGCATCGCAGAATTTGGAAACGTTCGTTGATATCTCTGGGCGCCCCATTAAAGGCTTGTCATTTTCATCCAGTAATACCCATCAAGCTAACTCCATTTCTCAAAGTTAAATTATAGAAAAGACTGGTCGAAAAGTATTGTACATATATATGTTTAAAAGCAGTATAAAGAGGCTTGTGATAAGAAGAAATTAGAGATTAGTGCCATTTTCTTTAAAAGAGTAATATTTTTCTTCAAAAATACTGGTTCTGGGCTTTGTAGATGTTGTGGATAGTTTTAAATTAAAACAAATACTAAAACTTCACTTTATGATCTTAATAGAAAGAAGAAAACGGTTCTATACTTATCAAAAAGTTGGTCAATTCTTTTATCGCAAGTTTCTTTAAATGGTTTGGGCACTGCCTATATATTGCGAGATTCAAACTATTTGAACTAATCAAAAATACAAAGATTAAAATTTACAAGCATTTTATTTTATAATTAATATTTTCTATAATAGATTTTTTTATTTTATAATGTAACACAATAATATGCAGGGTTATGTAATGCTTACAGTAATGCTTGTAGGTTAGGCAACAAACATATTTTGGGATATAAGGTTCTAAATATTTTGTATCTTAAGAAGTATTTTAGAAGTTCAAATTGTAGAATCTCCGAAATAAATTTTCTATAGGATAAATTATAATTTCGATAATTAGCACATCCATATAACTAAGGGCTTTATTTTTTAATACAAAAATGAAAATTTTAGACGCAGACTATAAAATGTTTGATTTTTTTGTATATTTAAATATATTTAGATATTAGAAAAGGTTTCTAGATACTTTTAGAAACTTTCGTTTTCAAATATTGGTAGTACTGAACAGTAAGTAATCATACCAAACTATGTCTTTTCAATCATTTATTTACTAACTCCTCCCCAAAATAGTTGGTTAGATATTAATAATTTTTTACTAACAATTCTTCTTCCACATTATTTACACATATAAATACAATTTTTTCTTTCAATAAATATTATTTGATGTTTATAATAATAGACACGTTAGTTTCTGGTGTCTTTCAATTACAATAAGTACTTTTTCTTTATTTTCTTCATCCATTTGATATCCACCTTTTTACTCTTGTATTTCCTTTTTAATTATTTTGTTTTATTTTTTTTCCTGCTTTCCAATCAGAAAAATAACTGCTTCAGCAAAAATTTATTGTTTTCTTAATATATTCAAGTTGTTTATATCTGTTGTCTATATTTATTACTGCTTTATTTATATATACCAATACCATTCATTTATGTCTACCAAAAATAAACTATTAACTTAAGAACACAAAGATTAATAGAAATAAATGTTGATCAATGTCCTGTTGTTCAAGGGAAAATTTTTAAGTATGTATACCAATATTTGGTAAAAATGTTAACAAAAATGTGCCTCTTAGTTTTATCGGTTGCGCTAATGGTAGAAAAGGTAAATGCTTGTATTATTATTGTGTTATTTGCAATAAAAATATTTGATGAGGTTTAAATGCGTGATCTGACAAGGTTACTTGTACAGTGTAAAATATACAATTATATTATTTTTATAATAAAAAATATGAATTTAACATTTAGAAGTTTTATTGTTTTTTACATCACTATATTGTACTTACTACAGTTGAAGTATCATAAAGATCTCATCTACATAAATAATGATCTGAAAACAAAAACAAAAGAAAAAGAAATATAGAAAGAAATAGTTTTAGAATAGGAAAGAAAGAAAAAACAAAACAGGCTATAAGAAATTGTTCCTGAATGGGAAAGAATGGATATGGGATGAAGAGAACCAACAACTAAAAGAAAATAACAAAAAAATGCCAAAAAACTAGTAGAAGAAAAACAACCGGGGAGATATAATACCGAAACGGCAAGGCAAAGGAATACGACCATGTAAACGAAAAAATAAATACAAAAGAAAGGCAATCCAAGGATACAGTAAAAAGATTCTGACTTGGAATGTAAGTGGTACTTATGAGCAGGGAACTTAAAGAAACTTAGACCAAATTATAGAAAAATATACAATAGATATCCTTGCCCTGTAAGAAACGAAACACTTGGAAAATGAATAAAAATAGGAAAGAGCACGCTATTCAAGAGTGAGGGTACCAAGAGATATTTTGGAGTGGGATTCATGGTGTTAGAGAAAGTAAACAAAGCAATTGTAAATTTTCAACCAATATCAGACAGAATATGTTACTTGAAAGTAAGAGGAAAGTATAGGAAGATAAGTATCATTAACGTACATGCACCCACTGTAGATAAAGACTTAGAAATCAAAACAGAGTTCTACGAAAAGCTAAGCACCCTAATAGGGAATATACAGAAATACGATATAAACATAATCGTTGGTGACATGAATACAAAAGTCGAAAATGGAAATATATAGAAAAATAAGAGGGGTACGAAGTTTACATAGGAAATCAAATGAAAACGGGCAAAAGTTAATAGAATTTGCCGCAGGGAACAAAATGGTTCATGGAACAGAGAGATAGCACAAGGTTTGATCACAAAGACATTTATAAGGTACCATGGATTTCTCCCGATGGAAAAATAAAAAATCAGATAGATCATGTCATAATTGAAAACAAACATGATAAGGCAATAATCGATTGCAACAGGTACAGAGGGGCAGATACCAACAGTGACCATACACTATTAACAGCAAAACTAAAACAAGAACTACCAATAATACCAAAACCTGTTAGATATAGATTAAATTACGAATTAGAGTGCCTTAAAGAGAAGCAGGTTGTAAACAGACTAGAGGAAGAAATAAATAAAAAATTAGAGAATCCAGTCAAATAGGATATAGATAAAGAGTGGCAGACTATACAGACAGCCATGTCGGAAGCAGAGGAAAAGTGTATAGGAAAAGAGCATATAAAAAAGGCAAGACAGGTTCGATGAAAAATGTAGGAATGCTTTGGCAAGAAGAAACAGGGCAAAACTACAAAGAGATAAATAATTCCCAAAATGCAATCGAAAACTATGTGACAAGAAGAAGGAAAAAAGAAAAGAGAACAACTAGTACGGCAATTAAAAAACGTAGAAGAAGCCTACTTAAACAAAGAGGTAAATAATTTTTACCAAGAAGTTAAGAAATCCACAGAAACTACAAAGAATAATACACAGTATTGCAGAAACAAATAAGGCTTATTTCTAGGCGAAAAAATAGAAAAATTAAGCAGATTGGCGAAATATTTCGAAGATCTACTAAAAGACCGACAAGAGGCACTTGAGGGAAATGAGAATTGGTAGAAAGATGAAGAAGAGACGTGCGAGGAACCAATTTTTAATGAAGTAAAAGAAATAATAACAGACCTAAAAAATAACAAAAGTGCAGGAGAAAGTGGTATCCCAGCTGAAGTTTTTAAGGAAGGTGGCGAAAGATTGAAGGAAAGGATATTTCACTTGACACTAATAATTTGGCAAAAGGAAGAAATGCCGAAACAATAGAATAGTGCTCTTATTTGTCCTATCCATAAAAAAGGAGACAAAACGGAGTGCGAAAAGTATAGAAGTATAGCACTATTAGAAGTAGTCTATAAAATACTTGCAAAAATTATTAGGAAAAGATTAATAAAATATGATAACAAAGTGATTGGACAATTCCAGGGAGGTTTTAGAGCAGGAAGAACAACTAGATACTAATCAAATAAGTATGTTAACATTAATTAATACAAAATAATACCTAGGAACAAAACTTAGGATTATACATAATATATGCTAATTATCGATTTTAAACAAACATATGACTCCCTAATAAGCACAGACGCCCCATCACAACAAGAAGATGCCAGTTTTGCGACGGAACCTGACGTACTCAAAAGTGAAGTTGAAGCAGCAATTATGAGGCAAAAAAGTCAAAAAGCTGCCGGTCCAGATAACATACCTATTGAAATGATTTGGGCCCTAGATGACGTTGGAGTTGATATAATACATCAAATTTGTCAAAGAGTGTGGGAGACAGGTAAATGGCCTGAGGACTGGACACAATCACTATATATTCCCATACATAAAAAGGGAGCGAAAGATTTATGTAGCAACTATCGCATAATTGCTCTAATTGCGCATTGCAGTAAGATACTCTTACACATAATTCTCGAGAGGATAAAGCCCTTTTTACTACCTAACATTGCGGAGGAACAAGCAGGTTTCGTCCCAGGACGTGGTACTAGAGAACAAATTTTAAACGTACGGCAGATTGTAGAAAAATCCAGAGAATTCAACATCACAACATATTTGTGCTTCATAGATTATAGTAAAGCTTTCGATTTGGTCAACTGGAGTAAAATGTGGCGGGTTTTGTCTGAAATGTGAGTCCCTAATCATCTGAAACTGCTAATTAAAAGCCTGTACAATAACAATTATGCCAGAGTTAGAATAAATGGGGAACTAACTGACAGTTTCAGGGTCACAAGGGGCGTGAGACAAGGCTGCATACTAAGCCCAATTTTATTTAACATCTATGGTGAATGGATAATGCGGAAAGCTACTGAGGACTGGAACGGTGGCATCACCATTGGCGGGAAGAAGATTTGCAACTTGAGATATCCAGATGATACTACTATCCTCGCTAGTTCTGAAAATGAATTGATTCACCTGCTACAACGGATAGAAGACGTAAGCTTAACGATGGTCCTTAAAATAAACAGGGATAAAACGAGAATCATGATAATTGACAGAGCTAACAACAATCAAAATCATCTGGTTAGGTTAAACAATATCGCTGTTGTAGATAAATTTGTGTATCTGGGCTCATTAATAACCAACAAAGGAGGCTGTACTGAAGAAATAAAGCGGCGGTCAGCAATCGCAAAAAGCGCTATGGCAAAATTAACAACAATTTGGAAAAGCCATGAAATTACTACCGATACAAAAATGAGACTAGTAAGAAGTCTAGTTTTTTCAGTTTTTACTTATGCATCGGAATGCTGGACCCTTACTGAGAAAGACAAAAAGAACATAGATGTATTTGAGATGTACTGCTGGAGACGAATGCTGAGAATACCATGGGTGGTCCGAAGAACAAATGAATCCATACTGGTCCAGCTAAACATAAAGAAAAGACTAAGAACACAAATAACAGAACAGATAATAAGCTATTTTGGACATGTGCTTCGAAGAAATGGTCTTGAAAAACTTACCATCCAGGGAAAAGTAGAAGGCAAAAGAAGTAGAGGTAGATCTCCTACACGATACACGGACCATATTGTTGCTACCATTGGCGCTCCATTGTCAGAATGTGCTAGATTGGCAGAAGATAGAAAAACATGGAGGAACATTGGAAAAATTACCTAACAGCTTCATGATATCACGTTAACGACTAAGGAGAAGATGACTCCCTAAACCGAACGATACTATATGAGGCTATAAGAACATTAGAAATATTAGAAAAACCAATAAGGCCAGTGAGAATGACGCTTAGGAACACGATGAATAGGAAAACAATGACAGGAAGATTTCCACTCACCAAAGCTATTCACACTTGGACTGGAGGACGTGTTTAAAGGCATTAACTGAGCAGATAAAGGAATAAATGTTAATTGAAGAAAACTGCCTCATTTGAGATACTCTGATGACTTTGTAATATTCGCTACCAGTTTCGAAGAACTACAGACCATGATGACGATGACGAAAATATTTCAAGCTTCGGACAAAGTAGGTCTGAAGATGAACTTGAAAAAAACAAAAATAATGACAAATACGCGGAATATTAGAAAAATAACGTTGAACGACATAAATTTAGAAACAGTAAGCGAATACATCTAACTGGGACAGATAATAAAAATTATCAAAAAAAATCTAACTGCCGAAATTACCAGAAGAATAAGATAAAAGAGAAAATAACTAAAATAGAACAATATTTATTTCATTATTTCATTTAAATTATGAATGTGGTGAATTATGCTTCTAAGTACAGTCTATAAAATAATATAATATCCAATATACTATATCACCGTAGGGGCACCATACGCAGAATAATAATTGGAAAATATGGAGCTGATAAATCGCTAATTTATCAGATTTCTTCCTTCAAACAAATTTATGAAAAACACCGAGTATGGTAGAAATACTTACCACATATTTATCGACTGCATGTCCGTCTACAACTCGGTTAACAAAGAAGAGATATTTAGGGAAATGAGAGGGTACAACAAATAATATCCCCATAAAAAGTAAATATTAACAATAAACAAATATCTTGGAATTGGAGGGAAAATGTTTAACAATCGTGATATATGTCTGTCCCCTTTATAGATAAAAATATTAAGATTTTAGGTCTTTAATGCCCTACTGTATGGCGTAGAAGCATGAACTTTTAAACCGAAGAAAAAATCGAAGAAAGATAGAACGAAGACTCCAGAGAAAGAGAAACTTAAACAAGTGGTTTTGCTACAGCACAAATCTTCTTCTTTTTATCTAGACGTAGACACGTATGTTTTTCAGTGTGCTTCCAGTAAGTTTGTGCTGATCGTCGTCCTATTGGGGAACCGTATCTTGCCGTCTTTACTACTCTATTTGTTGTCATTCGGCTTATATGATCATTTCATTTTACTCTTCCATTTCTTATACAGTCCTGGATGCACAAATAAACTGTTTAATTACTTCGACAGAATAGTAACGCAAAGAAAAAGAAGAAGACGGCGAAAATGTTATAACAAATAAATGAACACAAATTCAGTATCTTTATAATTTACCTAATTATAAATTTAAACTCCTTATTTACCTAATTTTTGAAATCAGTATTTATCCTTATAAACTAATATTAAAATTATCAATCAAGCAACATTAAAAAAAACAATATTATCTAATAAATGAATATTCTTGAAAATTTCTTACCTGACATACAGATAATCCATTATACTCTTAAGTGTATTACTGGTTGTAGCCGTTGCGGTTCTAACGCGCAAGTGTCAATGTTGTGGAATGGAAATGTCAAATTAGTGACTAAACAATCATCGTAATGTCAGTGTATCTTGTATGAATTTGTGTGATTTTTCATAAATTTTGTGGCAATGGAAGGGTCTCTAAGTAAATGGACTAATGTTATGAAGGGGTGGCAATATAGATGGTTCGTGTTAGACGATAACTCCGGCCTGCTGTCGTACTATACCGTAAGTCACGATTTCAATCTTTTGCTTTTACCTTAACCCAAGTTGTAACAATTTGATATTGAATTATATCCAGAAAAGGTATGTTTACAGTAGAAAAACTTGTTTACTTAATGTTTGATAACGCCAGTTGATTGATAATCTTTATTACATCAACAAAACCAAACATCATTCAAAGTTATTACCGCATAATTCGGTCGTGTTTTAATTGTTTTGACCAGTTTTTAAGATGATACAATATGTGAGAAGTGGGTGTAACTAGTTGATGTAATTTATCAGATCATACCTAATTGGTTTTACTGATGCTGAACCCGTTAGGATTGTTTAATAAACATTATTATCTTGCATTTGACTTAACAGCTCTGTGACAGTGGCGTGACAATGAGAGGATTTTAATATAGTGAATTTAGCTCAAAAATATCAATCTAGATTCTAGAGGACTTGAAATCGTGATTTTTGGAAAGTTGCTGGAACTTAATTGCAAAGTCATGTTTTAATTCTATGGACTTTGGCTTTGATGTAAATATAATTGTTTATTCCTATACTAGTAAATTAAAGGAACTGCCATCATTTCTAGGACTTTAAGATGGTAAACAAATGTGTAGATTATAGGATTTTAATACCTGAATACAGAATTTGTTATTGAAACTTTTATATTTATCATCCATGTTATAATGTGTACTGGTAGTTATAGTTAAAGTTGTGTAATTTGTCAAGTATCTTTGCAGATTGCTCATTTTATCACTCAATAAAAATCTTTGCCTTTATTTTTGTGGGGTTTACTTCACAAACAGAATTTCTTCAGATACATATCTGTGGTGTTTGGGAGACATGTGTAACTCCAAAATGCATGTTTTTCAGTAGGGCAAGTTTAATATTAGAGAAGTTTTCTGAAATTGAAGGCAACAAAATAAAAAACCAAATATATTTCATTAAATACTTTTATTATTTATTTATTAACGGATTTACATTGGAACAAAATATAATATATAAAATTTTACAAAGTAAGCATAACATTGGAAAGTAATTAGTAAATTTTAACAAAAACTAATCATTAACTTGAATACAAACTAATATCACACAAATAGCAGTCTCTTTATCACATTTTTAAATTGTTCTAAGGACTGGAAAAATAAGTCCAGATCACTTTGGTACCTATTATATAGTCTCGCCATATGAGTAAGAGGCTTGAAGTATTCATAATTAAATTGATAAAATGGTAGATGAAAGAACGAAGTACTTATGCCTTGTTCTATGAAGAGTGTTAAGACCTAATCGATTTAAAAGTTCAGGGCAATTTATCAAATTATTAGCAATTTTGTAAAGGAATATTAGGTAAAAATAATCTTTTTGCTGATTCATAGAAACCATTTTTAAGTGATCAGCTATCATACTATAACTGTATAGGACAGAGAGGTCATGAAAAGCACTATCATAATGATAGTGTTTACCAAATTTATGCGGAATACAATCAAGCCTCACCGTTAACAAAGAGGACAAAAAGTAGAGGATGACAATGTGACCCCTGTGGTACTCCAGAGAGGACATCAACAGATTGAGACAACACACCATTTATCTTAATGCTCTGGGTGTTACCCACAAGAAAACTTATCATACCAATCAAGCCATTTGCCAGCTATACCAATGGCTCCTAATTTACTGATTAAATAACGATGATTTACTTTATCAAATGCCTTTGAGAAGTCAGTATAAATGTTGTCCACCTGGTACTTTCTCTCAAAAGCACCCAATATATCATCTTGGTAGACCAACAAGTTTGACACTGTGCTCCTCCCCCTTTGAAAGCCATGCTGTTGGGGTATTATTGTATTATTATTTGTTAGTTGTGATAAGTGAGAAGTCACTAGCTTGTCGAGAAGTTTGGGGATTGCTGACTATACAAATTCCTCAGTATTTTTCATTATCTTCCCTTTTACCAGACTTAAAAATGGGTACAATATAACTGTTCTTCCAGAATTAGCCCATTGAGCATCTCTCATGTTGTAGTTGACTGTCAAGATCACAGAACTTTGTGGATGTTTGTTCCTCAAGAAGGGTGCAGTGATATTCATATGCCTCAGCTAATGAACTAGGTGGTATATAGATTCCTCCTATTATAAACTGATTATCATTCAGTTTAACTTCCACAAAACAAACACAAAACAACAAGTTTAAACAAATTTGACTTACAAAATAGTTTAGAGAATAGTTTTTTCTTGATTGTAATGTACACTCCTCCGTCCACAATGCCCAATCCATGCTGATAGCGGTCCTGTCAATAAATATTATAGTTTAATAGATCAGTCTCACTAACCAGAAACTTTTCAGCTAGCCACGATTCAATCAAAATAACTATCATAATCATTTAGTAGCAAAGATTCCCTTAACTGAAAGAGTTTAGTTCGAAGTCCACCAACATTATGAAAGTAACATTTTAGGCTACTTCTCAGTTTTTTGACAGGTTAACTATTGTTTGATGAATTGATGTGTTGGCTAAAGACTGGAGTTCGGTAGCATCAACGTTTCTATGGTAGTTAAACACAAACTTCATGAAAAGGACATCTGGGGGCCAAAAGTCACTACTATTCACTATTGTCTCGTACTCAGTAGGAATTCCAAATCTAAACGAGTTAAATTATTCATTGGATTTCAACAGTTTAACATAAATGTCTTTTTTTATTACCAATATTGGCAGCTTTCTTTATGTAATCGTTTACAACAGACTCACCAACAGAGTTTTGCACCCTACCTAGGTAAAACCATGAGCGTTTAATATGATTTGCTTTGGGCACACCTTTTAATTGGTCTGAGCAGGCGCCAGTTCCGCAAACTAGTGCATATGAAGATTTTCTGAGAGCATTATGATGGGTAGCTTCACTGGGCTTGGGATTACTCAAGAGAGACTGCGTAGCACTCAGCAAAACAGAACTTATGACTGATGCAGTAGAAGGTATGTCACTCTGATTTTGAGTGCGTTCATTTTCAATTTTACTCTTGTTGGACTTTTTGTATAGCCATATTCAAACCATCCACCTTCAATTAAACTTGGTTCAAATGATTTTTAAGTACTACTGAATGATTATTCTCCACAGCCTCCTGGGCTGCACTCAGTTTTGTTGTAATATTAGTAATGATATCATATTTAAAGGAAGAAATCAATGCTTTGAGTTTTTAAAATGTTTGAAATCATGTCAACATTGGTGTTAGGAAAATCAGGGACATTACCATCATAAACATCATCAGTCATGTCAACTGAGGCTTTGGGGCGACCAGGTGCTCCTATGTTTTTGCGACAATCCGGGCAGACAAACAGCATAACCCTAGATGGGCTGGGTATGCACCGAATTTCTTGCACTTGTAAGCCTGACATATTAAATACTAATTAATGAAAAAATCTCATGTAAGTGTACCTAAATTTACCTTTGGCCTAAATAAATCGTATTTACAAATTACTTAATTCTGTTTATTGATATTAATTGTGAACTGGTGAACTGGCCACATCCTTTTTGGAGGTTTACAAATATTCGAGATAGTAGTCTTCTAACAGTGTCTATTAAGTTCTATCAGGTTCTAGATCGTTTGGACATGTTCAATGTTGAGATGTTAATCACCCAATATGAAGAGTTGCTGATCTGCTGGTTTTTAGGAGGAGTTGGAGATGAAGACCTGGGGAAAAGCTTAGGCAGGACATGTCAGTAAAGGGGATTGATATTGCTATGACCCAAGATAGAAACATAAATAAATGTAATTTGGGAAGCTGGCCCCACTATAGGGATAGAGACAAGTAGAATGATAAAGGAAAGAAAAGTGGAAGAGCCAAATGTAATTTGTCAATTGATGAACTTATTTGAGTTATTAAGCTAAGTTTGTTACAAAAGTCTTTCATACATTACATAATTTGACAACTCAGTATTTATTTTAATGAAGAAGTACTTAATTAATATCAACCAAATTTTCACTATGACATATTACTTTGCTTTTAACTCTATTGTCTCTATGATGAATGATGAAAGAATAAGTAAAAATTCACAAAGTCCCACATTTTTACTATTAATTTTGTTTTATACTATAGCGTTTAAATATAATATAGAATATGTTGCATTCATTCCATTTGATTTATGAATAAAACATTCTGATTGAACAACTGGGTGCCACCTGCAATAACAGTTACTTTCATTCAGTGCATTAGGCAAGAGTAATGATCAAGGAATCTAGTATATCCAATCTAAATATATCTGAAAACATAATATATAGATATGAGGGTAATTAATAGACACACTAAACTAAATATTATAATCTAGTTTAAACAAACTGGTAGTAAATTATTGATTAATAAGCAAATAAAATATATGATTAAAAAAATATATACAAGCACAAAATTTTACATGAGGTTAATCCATTAAATTTTGAACATCACAAAACATTAAACATTTACTAACATCCGTTTGGTTTTTGTGATATTTAGTCTGAGTCCGTATTCTTTAACCATGCCATTGTCAAAACATACCTCTATAAACTAAATTTGTCCGAATCAGAACTTTGTGATTGCAATTGTTTTCCTGATGATATTAATCATTGGTTTGGATGCAAGCATAATGCTGATGCAATTAAGTATTTGATGCCCACTCCGGCTCAAGAACAAATACCTTTCCCACAAAATCAAGCTTCTCTCTTATACTTGTCTTGACGAAACTATAAAATACAACAAATTTTTTGGGAATCTCGGACTGAGAGAAAAATCTAACTTAGCTTAATAACTAATCTAACTAATCTAACTAATCTAACTGAGACTATCTAATCTAAAATAAATCTAATCTTGTATGAATAAGTCGACTTGAATATGTTTAGCAATTGTTTTTCATGTTTATTCTTATTTAATATTAAGTACCTCCCTGTAAAATATGAAAATTGTTATTTAAAGAAATTTTGTCATATTTACACAGTCGTCCAAAACCAAAATTTGTGTTGGTAGATATAAGGCTTAAATAATATCTTCACGGTCT